CGTCAGGTTTCGTCAGACGAAACCATTGACGAAACTATTTCGTCAGGGCAAATTAGTTTCGTCAGGCATCATTAGTCACTACCCAAATTTTCTATGACGTGTGGGTGATGTGAAGGTGACGTGAAGAGTTAGCTGCCTTTGACCTTCTAATTGACTGCTCCTATAGGCTTGCATGAAATAAGTTGATTCAATAAGCGATATAGTATAAAATAAATAATATTTCTTGCCAAGATTTGTTTATTGCGCAAAGTAAATCAATAATTTTATTTTTAAGTTAAAAAAATAAATAAATAAACAAATAAAACTAAAACTTAAAAAATATCTAACGGTTTTTAGAAGATTACATAATAATACAATGTTATTAAAAACGAATATATAGCTCCATTCATTTCTAGCCATTAGATATCTAAGAAATAACTTCTAAACAAGTGTATGTATAGTACATTTTTAGAAATCAGCATATCTCTCTAACGGCAAATTGAATAGTGATAGAGCCTATACAAAGAAATTTGGTAGTGCATTTTCTTGATTTTAAAATTTAATATAAAAATGATTTTATAATTTTAGTATTTTCATTGATGTTGTTGATTCTTTTGTATCAATTTCTTCGCATGTTACCAAAAAAAACGAGATTGTGTCTACTTTATCTGAGAATTCATTTTAATAAATTCGATTTCATAAATATATATAAATACATCCTCTCCTAGAAACTTTTAAATAATTTTAAAAATCATAATAATTAAAAACATTTGATAAATCGTTTTAATTTATCGATAATGTATTTGAAAAAACTTTTTCTCCTGATCATTTTGACCTCATTCACAGTCTCTTTCTCTAAGGCTATATTTATTGACTTGAATAAAAGAAATAAAACAAAAACATGCCCGAATGCTTTGCTCTCGGCTACTTTTGAAATTGATATAAAAGGGCAGATGTCCTTTTATCAGGACCTCCAAGGAGAGGTATGGTTGACTGGTACTTACCAATCAGGATTTCAAAAACCTGGTACTTGGAATTATTGTTGGACAATTCAAAATGGTTGCGGTGATATTCTTTTTAACCTCACTGATCGATTATATATGGAATATGCAAAGGGTAGTAGTTGTAATGGTTATAATGATTCAAGACATAAAAGGAGAGGTAGTTATTATAAAGAACAATGTGAGGCTGGGGAATGGGGTACTAAACCTTGGATAGTTAAAGTGAGTGATTTAATCTGGGATTGTGATGATGATAAAGGTTTCAAATATCAAACTTGTAAGGGTAAAGATATTTATAAAGATATGACGATTAATTATACTGAAACAAAGCTTCCAAAGCGGCTTAGTGACCAGGGACCTACAAGTGGTCTTTATTTAGTTATTGAGGGCCAAAGTAAATGGGGAAAACGTGAATCTATTACTTCACCTGCTGCAATTAATGTTAATAATGAAGGTAATGTTATAGCACCACCGCCGCCAGCATAATATAGTTATTTTTTTTATTTTAATATAACTCAAAATTAAATATCTTAAAATTTAATTAATGTATATGATATTTAAAAATGAGAATTTCTATTTGTATATTACATGTATGTAAATGGATATTGTAATTTCTCAAATTTTGTTAATAAAACTACTTTTGGGGTTCTAACAAAAAAAATTCCTCGCAAAAATAATATTAACATAGGCCACGCAAAGTTAATTTTTCGTTTTGCATAATCCGCCGACCCATTATTTCAAATTTTCAAAAAATTTTTTTTTGTTGAAGTCCCAATTTTGTCAATTATTCTATTTTTGCTATTTAATTTTTCTATCAACTTTATCCGATATCACTCCGATAGGACCGATAGAAAAAAATCTCAGTGCTGACCCAATTTTCTGATTCCATGCTATGCAAACGAAAAAATTAACTTTGTATAGCCTTAGATATGAACATGAGCCTATTAATTTACAATAGATTAAAAAAAAAATCCGACCGACCGACCCAATTTTTCTGATTCCATGTTATGCAAAACGAAAAATTAACTTTGCGTGGCCTTATGTTAATATTATTTTTGCGAGGAATTTTTTTTGTTAGAACCCCAAAAGTAGTTTTATTAACAAAATTTGAGAAATTACAATATCCATTTACATACATGTAATATACAAATAGAAATTCTCATTTTTAAATATCATATACATTAATTAAATTTTAAGATATTTAATTTTGAGTTATATTAAAATAAAAAAAATAACTATATTATGCTGGCGGCGGTGGTGCTATAACATTACCTTCATTATTAACATTAATTGCAGCAGGTGAAGTAATAGATTCACGTTTTCCCCATTTACTTTGGCCCTCAATAACTAAATAAAGACCACTTGTAGGTCCCTGGTCACTAAGCCGCTTTGGAAGCTTTGTTTCAGTATAATTAATCGTCATATCTTTATAAATATCTTTACCCTTACAAGTTTGATATTTGAAACCTTTATCATCATCACAATCCCAGATTAAATCACTCACTTTAACTATCCAAGGTTTAGTACCCCATTCCCCAGCCTCACATTGTTCTTTATAATAACTACCTCTCCTTTTATGTCTTGAATCATTATAACCATTACAACTACTACCCTTTGCATATTCCATATATAATCGATCAGTGAGGTTAAAAAGAATATCACCGCAACCATTTTGAATTGTCCAACAATAATTCCAAGTACCAGGTTTTTGAAATCCTGATTGGTAAGTACCAGTCAACCATACCTCTCCTTGGAGGTCCTGATAAAAGGACATCTGCCCTTTTATATCAATTTCAAAAGTAGCCGAGAGCAAAGCATTCGGGCATGTTTTTGTTTTATTTCTTTTATTCAAGTCAATAAATATAGCCTTAGAGAAAGAGACTGTGAATGAGGTCAAAATGATCAGGAGAAAAAGTTTTTTCAAATACATTATCGATAAATTAAAACGATTTATCAAATGTTTTTAATTATTATGATTTTTAAAATTATTTAAAAGTTTCTAGGAGAGGATGTATTTATATATATTTATGAAATCGAATTTATTAAAATGAATTCTCAGATAAAGTAGACACAATCTCGTTTTTTTTGGTAACATGCGAAGAAATTGATACAAAAGAATCAACAACATCAATGAAAATACTAAAATTATAAAATCATTTTTATATTAAATTTTAAAATCAAGAAAATGCACTACCAAATTTCTTTGTATAGGCTCTATCACTATTCAATTTGCCGTTAGAGAGATATGCTGATTTCTAAAAATGTACTATACATACACTTGTTTAGAAGTTATTTCTTAGATATCTAATGGCTAGAAATGAATGGAGCTATATATTCGTTTTTAATAACATTGTATTATTATGTAATCTTCTAAAAACCGTTAGATATTTTTTAAGTTTTAGTTTTATTTGTTTATTTATTTATTTTTTTAACTTAAAAATAAAATTATTGATTTACTTTGCGCAATAAACAAATCTTGGCAAGAAATATTATTTATTTTATACTATATCGCTTATTGAATCAACTTATTTCATGCAAGCCTATAGGAGCAGTCAATTAGAAGGTCAAAGGCAGCTAACTCTTCACGTCACCTTCACATCACCCACACGTCATAGAAAATTTGGGTAGTGACTAATGATGCCTGACGAAACTAATTTGCCCTGACGAAATAGTTTCGTCAATGGTTTCGTCTGACGAAACCTGACG